TAACATTAGCTGAAAAAACATGACACTTTGTCAACAACCAAACTTGGGAGCAGTGACATCCTGTTCGTCAGTATAGAGCTACAATGCCCTCGAAAATAGCAAGTTACATATATTGAAATTGTGCTATGGAATTGTGTGTCAAATAAAAACTTTGTTGTAAGTTTGGTTCATAATATTTCCTTAAGGAAAAATAAGTGTCACCTGATTTCTATTTCGTATGGTGCAAAATAGCAAAGAAATACATTTCTACTTTCTAACAGCAAACATTCGCTGGAAACATTGTACTTTGTCAATAAACAGAAAACATCATGTTCACCAGCGTGGAGCTACATTGCCCACATAGATAACAAGGGACATAAATTAAGCTTGCATTATGAAATTATGTGTCACATTAAGTCTCTTTGTTGTAAGTTTGGTTCGTAATATTTCCTTGTTGAAAATATATATCAACTGGATTCTATTTCGTATGATACGAAAGAGCAAAGAGATTCCTTTCTAAGTTCTAACGCAAACATTACAGGAAACAATGTACCTTGTAATTGACAGCAATGTTCATCAGCACGGAGTTACCCTGCCTATATAAATTACAATTCACATGCACTGAAATTGCGTTATGGAATTGAAGGTCAAATAAATGATCTTTGTTATAAGTTTGCTTCATGATATTTCCTTAGTAAGAATAAGTGTCACCTGATTCTTATTTCGTATGGGCGAACAAGCAAAGAGATAGATTTTAACGTTCCGGCAAAGTCAAACCCTCACCGGAAGTACAATACTTTGTCAACTTCCGGTGTAACCACAACACTCATTATGAAGCGGGTTGCGCTCTACAGAGTTAAGCGAAGTTATAAGTACAAAGTACATATATCATTCTCCTTATTAACACACCCCTGTCTATATAAAATAAAGTCAACATGAATTGAAATTGTGTTATGGATCTTTTTGTTGTAAGTTTGGTTCATAATATTTCCCTAATGAGATTAAGTGTTCCTATGCGTATGGTGTGAAAAAGCAAGATGATATATTTCGACGTTAGATCTAACACCAACAGCAAACCCTCACCGGAAGTATAGTACTTTGTCAACAACCGGTATAGACACAACACTCGTTATGAAGCGCATTGCGTTAGAGTCCAGTCTAAGTGTAACTATAAGTAAAATGTATATAAATTATTCTCCTATCAACACGTCAGCGAAGAATTGTGTATTTAACGTTACATGGCATTCACTGCAATACAGTTGAAGATAGAGACGTTTACATAATGCATCGCTGATATATACCTTCAACGTTTCACTATTTACCTTATCAAAAAGTCCATCCAATGAATGTCCATGAAAAATAGGCACACAAGAAATCCGATAGATTGACATATTCCATCCAATGAAAGGAAGACACATCCACACTATATTCCCCATTCCGTTATCACACATGTACACAAGGGAAGGGGATAACGTCCATAACTGGGCATGAGAGAAAGCAATCATTTTGAAGATGGAATTGTTATCGTCTGTGCCTCTGAATCTCCCACAAAACACGCATCATACATTTTAAAGTCACAATAAAGAGAAGTCTATGGGTTATCATCCAGTTTGATTGATTTTTCTGGGGAGTCAGATTCCTTTCTGACTTGTACTTGAACGTCAGTGCCCTCTTCCTGGACCCTAGTTTGGAGTTTCTTGTTTTTTCTGAGTTCGTAGGCCTTGGCCGCGAGTTTACCTCTGAATTTTTTCAGCACTACTGGCAAGTCCGTTCTCGAGACTCTAGATTCTCAAAGGGCCATGGGTTCCTTGAAACGTGCATGGAGAACGGCGTTTCTGTCATCTAACTTGACAGACTTCGCAACCGCCGGCTTTGGTTGTTTCGTTGTATATGGGTTTGTGGAGTTACGCGGAAAGCGATGGAATTGCATATATTCTACCTTGTCGACGCCCAGCGGTGTAAAAATATCCTTACATGCCGATTCTGCATCCTTGGAGTCTGGAATGCCGTACACAAGCAAGTTATTTTTCCTCATGTAGAGCTCCTGTTGCAGGAATGTTTGGTCGTACACCGATTTCAACTTTCCAACTTCCACCCCAACTTCATCAATTTCTGCTTTATGCGACTTGATTTATTTCTGAATGAAAGTTCACAGTGTCTAGCACGTCAGTCAGATTCTTTCTCAGCTCTGATATGTCAGCCTTTATTTCATTCCTTATAGGGGCGGTGGGGTAGCCTAGTGGTTAAAGCGTTGGCTCGTCACGCCGAAGACCCGGGTTCGATTCCCCACATGGGCACAATGTGTTAAGCCCATTTCTTGTGTCCCCCGCCGTGATATTGCTGGAATATTGCTAAAAGCGGCGTAAAACTAAACTCAGTCAGTCAGTCATTCCTTATAAGCGTAGTGTGAGTTGGTGATGAACTTCTTCATCGCTTCGTCGCACATGGTTTCGTTGTCTATGGCGGGTTACGAATTTTCTGTTTCTTCTTCTCGTTCGTCCTCATTTGTTCTTAAATATGGAGTTAAATCATGTTTCGTGTTTGTTGTGAGGAATTCGTTTGTAGTTTTGTGCTTATTGTCTACGCGTCAATTTGACATAGTTACTTATATTGCTGTGGAGGAGCGGAACGTGTGTGAGACACGTCCTATACCATGCGCATCGCCACCGGAAGTTTTAAATACATGGCAGGGAAGTTGGCTATTGGAAAGTTAAAATCATCTTTGGCCAAATTACCTTGTTTTGATTTTGCCAACCCCAGCAGAAATTCTGATTCATATGTATAAAGAAACGAATACGCAAGGAGGGTGCCCACGGGGATGCCAACTTCCTTGCAAAATATTTTACCCCCCAAATTTCACAAAGATGTTATCAATGAGAATGTTCAGCATTTAACATATTGTTTTGTCGGCAAACTTCAAATGACATTTGTTTCCATTTTTGACAAATTGTCCTGAACCTCTGAGGATAGATATGTAGGTATATTTTTGTTCACCACGTTTGTTTACAAAAGCCCCCCCAAATCAAGGAGAGAAGTTTTTCCTTAATTTTGTTATGTGGGATAGTGGTATACAATGTTGAAAATTCAAATGAGTGAGTTTGGTTTTACGCCGCACAGTGTGAAGATAACCCGACGCCTTGAGGTTGGTTGGTTGGTTGGCTGTTTAACGCAGCGCTCAGCAATATTCCAGCTTTATGGCGGCGGTCTGTAAATAATCGAGTCTAGTGAGACAATCCAGTGATCAACAGCATGAGAATCGATCTGCGCAATTGGGAACCGATGACATGTGTCAACCAAGTCAGCGAGTCTGACCACCCGATCCCGCTAGTCGCCTCTTACGACAAGCATGGGTAACTGAAGATCAATTCTAACCCGGATCTTCACGGGTCTGAAAAATCAAAAGTTTTGACAGAACGAAACTTGGTCCGTTTCTGAGATTCTACAAATGTAATCAAATCCTTTAAGTTTTTGAGAATCCACATGGTATTAATTCCGCTGGTCTCAAAAGTTTTCTGTGAATATTGGTAAATCACTTCCTTGGTAGTATTAAGGGTTATGGTTAATCTCTGAGACGGGGATTTGGTGGTACATTGGCTGGAACCAGCATTAAATCTCTCCTTGTACGGATTTGTATGTACGTATTTCCAGTATAAAAGAGGAATGGACATGTATGTCTTCAGATTTCAGAGTCAAGCCAAAACTTGAATGATTTTGGTAGACATCTTTCTCAGTTAACATAATGTCCTTATAATGTGTGAGCTTACAAGATTTTGACGTTGTAGAGAAAATCTGTTTATTTGCTTGTGAGAAAACATTTTGTGTTTACAACCAATAAACTAGTATTGGGATTTATGGTGAATTTGGATATTTATCACTGTATATGCTTATATTAAGGCTGCCAAATACTTTTAGATTTGCCTTCAGGTGAAACTGGGGCAGAGGGGTAGCCTAATGGATAAAGCATTCGCTGGTCACGCTGAAGATTCGGGTTCGATTTCCCACATGGGTACGATTTGTGAAGCCCATTTCTGGTGTCCCCCGTCGTGATGTTGCTGGAATATTGCTAAAAAGCGGCGAAGAAGTCTATAAACATAGTATGAAGGGTTGTTGACTGTAACTGTAATCGTTGTAAACATCTAAAACCTGCATGAGCTTTCCTGCCACATTTAGCTGATAGGCACCAATACAACTAAAATTCACATTTGCTGAAAGTTATTTACTCATGGATCTGTGGGGACTCTCAGTTAGAATTGGTCCTCAGTAACCTGCGCTTGTGAGATGTGACTAAGTAGGTCAGGTTGTCAGACTCACTGTTTTGGTTGATTACGTGTCATCGTCATTGCTGCCCAGTCATGATGTTGCAATCTGGGCCCACCAGAAACCTCTGATCATGGGTTCGGATACAGGATCGCGCTGATTCTTGTCATGGTTTGTCAGCTCCATACACGCGCTCATGGGTGTCACCAAAGTTGGCCTGAATTAGTTTGTGCTTCCCTCCCACTCTCACCTGACACATCGTGATATTTCATGGAACTCATTCACTCACTGACTTTGACGAAAGGACTTCGATTAACAGTTAATCAATCGCCATTTACAAATCACACTCCAGAACATGGCAGTTGTTCACTGAACTAGCTTTAACATATTTGAGGAATTGTAACGAAACATGACAAACAGTGTTTAAAGACGGTTTATTTCCGAACTATTCTACATTTATACACAAAATTGGAATTGGATCCCTCTCGGCTGGTACTGCGGCCTGTGTCGAGGAAAATGTTTCCACCAAACGATGTTTGATGTTTTTTCTCCACTTTTGGTTATATTTTCTTTGATTCTTCAACATAGTTTTGCGAACCTAGGAAAAAGAGATGAAGTAAACACCGTTATTCCAAATGATCACTAGTAATTAATATAGTGACAGGACCGCGGTTATACTGAAACTTCACGTCCAGGAAAATATAATTGTGTAAGGTTGAAGTCGTATACTGTTCTGAGATTTTAACGACCGTTACGTACCTTTATCATCTGCTTTCATATTCATGGCTGCTGTTATCAGTTCTTTCATCGTCATCGTCATCGTCATCGTCATCAGATACATCATTGTCTATTCTCGTGCGGTCATCATCGTTGGTACTAGCTACATCATCGTTGTCAGCAACAGTTGTATCATTACCTCTACTAGACTCATTGTCGTCGATAACACGTGTATCATCTACGTCGTTATCAGCTGTAGCATTGTCTCTCTTCGTTGGCTCGTGTTCATCGGGTTCAAATGCATCATCGTTTCTGCTTCTATGGTCCTCAAGCTCATCATAGATAGCAATTCTATAAGCGTATCTCTTCCTACGGTCATTGGAGTCACTCTTATCAGCTGAAACATTATCTTCATCGTCGTTATCATCTTCCTCCTCCTCCTCTTCTTTATCATTATTATCTCTTGTATTTTCCTCCTCGTCGTCGTTATCATCATCGTCGTCGACATCGTCGCTGTCATCATTGCCGTTGTTATTATCAGCTGAATCGTCATCGTTATCAGTTTCATCATCATCGTTTTCATTATCAGTTCTCTCATCACTGTCGTTATCAGTTGAACCATCATTGTCATCGTTATCTGCTCTATCATCACCATCATTATTTGTTCTTTCATCATCGTCGTTATTATCAGCTGAATCGTCATCATTGTCGTTATCAGCGGAATCATCACTATCATCATCATCATCATCATCATCTGTTCTGTCACCATCATCATCGTCATTGTCATTATCAGCTGAATCACCATCATTGTCATTATCATCTGAATCATCACCGTCATCATTGTCAGATTTATCATCATCGTCATCATCATCAGCTGAATCATCATTATCAGCTGAATCATCATCATTGTCATCAGTTCTATCATCTTCGTCATTATCTGCTGAATCATCACCGTCATCATTATCAGTTCTATCATCTTCGTCATTATCTGCTGAATCATCATTGTCGTTATCAGCTGAATCATCATTATCAGCTGAATCATCATCATTGTCATTATCAGCTGAATCATCATCGCCATCATTATCAGTTCTATCATCATTGTCGTCATTATCAGCTGAATCATCGTCATTATCATTATCAGCTGAATCATCATCGTCATCATTATCAATTCTATCATCATCGTCGTCATTATCAGCTGAATCATCACCGTCATCATTATCAGTTCTATCGTCATCATCGTCATTAGCGGCTGAATCATCATTGTCGTTTTCAGCTGAATCATCACCGTCATCATTATCAGTTCTATCATCATCGTCATTATCAGCTGAATCATCATCATTATCATTATCAGCTGAATCATCATCGTCATCATTATCGGTTCTATCATCGTCGTCGTCATTATCAGCAGAATCATCATCATTATCATTATCAGCTGAATCACCATCGTCATCATTATCGGTTCTATCATCGTCGTCGTCATTATCAGCTGAATCATTATCATTATCATTATCAGCTGAATCATCATCGTCATCATTATCAGTTATATCATCATCGTCATTATCAGCAGAATCATTATCATTATCATTATCAGCTGAATCATCATCGTCATCATTATCAGTTCTATCATCGTCGTCATTATAAGCTGAATCATCATCATTATCATTATCAGCTGAATCATCATCGTCATCATTATCAGTTCTATCACCGTCGTCGTCATTATCAGCAGAATCATCATCATTATCATTATCAGCTGAATCATCATCGTCATCATTATCAGTTCTATCATCATTGTCGTCATTATCAGCTGAATCATCATCGTCGTCATCGGCTGAATCATCACCACCATCATTATCTGTTCTATCATCATCGTCGTCATTCTCAGCTGAATCATCATCGTCATCATTATTAGTTGTATCATCATCGTTGTCATTATCAGCTGAATCATCACCGTCATCATTATCAGTTCTATCGTCATCCTTGTCATTATCAGCTGAATCATCATCGTTGTCATTATCAGTTCTATCGTCATCGTCGTCATTATCAGCTGAATCATCATCATTGTCATTATCAGTTCTATCGTCATCGTTGTCATTATCAGCTGAATCACCATCGTTGTCATTATCAGTTCTATCGTCATCGTTGTCATTATCAGCTGAATCATCATCATTGTCATTATCAGTTCTATCGTCATCGTCGTCATTATCAGTTGTATCATCATCGTCATCATTATCAGCTGAATCATCATCGTTGTCACTACTAACTCTATCATCATCGTCATCATTATCAGCTCTACCATCATCGTTGTCACTATCATCACCATCGTCATTATCAGTTCTATCATTGTCGTCATCAGCTGAATCATCGCCGTCATCAAAACCAGTTCTATCATCACCTTCGTTATCAGCTAACTCATCATCGCTGTCATCAGTTCTGTCGTCATTGTAGTTGTTATCAGTGCTACCATTATCGTGGTTTTCAGCTGAATCATCGTCGCTCCTCCTTCCCTCATAATCGTCCTTGTCGGTTGTTTCACCGCTTCTCCTCCCAGGTCGAACCCTTCTCACGTTCACTAAACCTTGATAAAATGAACCAGTGTCCTCAACATCTTCGTTTTCAGTTGTATCACCGCCTCTCCTCTCAGGTCGAACCTTTCCTCTCCTCTCAGGTCGAACACGTCCTCTCCTCTCAGGTCGAACCCTTCCTGTCCTCTCAGGTCGAACACTTCCTCTCCTAGCAGGACGAACCCCTCCTCTCCTCTCAGGTCGAACCCTTCTTCTTTCCACTAAACCTTGATCAGTGCCTTTTCTTTGATAAAAGGAACCGATGTCCTCAACATCTTCGTTATCATATGCATCGCCGCCTCTCCTCTCAGGTCGAACCCGTCCTCTGTCCACTAAACCTTGAAAAATGTCTTTTCCTTGATCAGTGGAACCAGTGTCTTCAGCTTCTTCACGAAGATCGTTTGTTCCTGCCAAGGAAGAAGATAATGTTAAGTTCATCTTAATCTCAATGTCTCTCAGCTTAAAATAGTTACTCTTAGGGATATTCTCGCAGCGTCACGGCAGGAGATACCAGGAATTGGCTGCACACATTGTATGTAAGCGAGAAACCGACATATCAAAGGTATCTTTCAACATTTAACATAGCGTTATATTCTCCATAGAATACACACTTATATCAACCGATAAATACCATGACTGATTTTGAATTGTCAACTCATTTCCAAAATATAACAAATTGTGACACCATACTGAAGAAGAACTAGCCTGACTTATGCCCAAATATTATGTCCTACACCACCCAAAGATCTTACCATCAGGTAACGCTGATGTGGAAGCCTGTTCTGGGCCAGTGTTTGAGTACTAGTACCCGGGGTATATAAACAGAACAGTCAGCTACATCCATCAAGAACCATACCATTAAATGTGGCTTTCTTCACTTCAAGATATTGTTCACAAAATCTACGTTGTAGACAGCATCTATTACAATGATCCACTTACAAGTTCCCTATTTCTCAGAACTATAGTAAATTCTAAGATGCTTAGCTAAAAGATCAAAGGCGCCGACAGTACCAGGCGATAAAGTACACTTTTCTGATTACGTCACACTGTATTGACGTCACTACGCCATTCTCGTCTGCCCCCTCGTAATGAAACGTACCCTTGTTAACGGAAGTCATGATGACTGTAAGTTGTCATCGTCTCGTAATGTATCCTAGAGTAAACTACTACGTAGCACCCCGTTTCTTGGTTTGCAGTTGCTTCACTCGGCTAACATCACTGGTAAAAACATTACGTTTAATTTTTTTTTACGGATAAATGTCTCCTCTCGAATCACAATTAAACAGCGACACGGGCAATGTTGGCTGACTGAGCCTATGTCCACAGTCCCACAATGCTTCCGTCGGTTAGCCCTGAACGAGGATTGTTAAAATACAGGTATAGCAGGTACCGACGGAAAAACATAAACACGATGAGAGTCCATTTCTTTTCAACACAGGATTTTAAATGAAAATACATTGACGCAATAGTATTATAAAACTTGCCAGAGGGCCTATGCCTTTTGTAATGGCTGTACGTACATTTATAACGAGACAGCAAAATCTCTTCCTTTTCTTACAGCAGTGCTTCTGGACAAGTTCCTCTTTGAGTGTCATTTTAGAAGGTGGGAAGTATAATATTGACAAATTTTATGCATAGCAACTTCTTTTATTTCGATACAGACTCTTGCACCGTTGTCAAGCACGGTACTTGGGTAACTGTTGTTATTCATAAAGTTTGGACACAACCCTGTAAAGTACACAATCCATCTACAGAAGAGTAATTTGCCCTGAAGCTAGGATTGGTCTCATCAATGATATCATTCTTTTCACTCAAGATCTGAAGCCTTTCATTTAAAAAATGGACGTAAATATTTTGCAGAGAGCGCCAATCTTGTGCCAATCTGTTGTGTTATCAATTTACGACAAGTAGATCATGATACTTTATACCCGCTGTTTTGTGAAATGTCTATTGTTAAGATTGATATTCTTTGTAGATTTTTAACGTTTTGTTCGCATGTGTCAATTGGTTAACATTAATGCAGTGCATGCTGTCGATGAAGTCGTATATACACAACGAAGATTTACACGATGTGTTCCTCACTAGTGGCAGAAATATCCTGTACAATTCTATTTTCTTTAAGAATTTTCCAGAGAACCTTGGAATAATTTTTGGCATCCAGCGGTCTGTCTTTCCGTTTCTTTGAAAAGTGAGTACTACCAAAGCTAGAATAAGGTTCACTGACGTCTGTCGATATCCCGGGATTGTATGCCTTGGAGTGAGTGAGTGAAATTGGTTTGACGCTGTTTTAAACACAGTTTCGGCTACTTGGCTTGATACGAGAGGAACACCTGGATTGTCGCAGGTTTTAGACGGTGGTTACCATTTTTGAATCAAGTAAATGTATGATATTGAGACACCTATTCGAACCCACGTTTATAGATCCGTGTATTAAGTTTAAGAAGTCGGTAACTGACTGTCGCTGTAAGCTTTCTGACCTAGGTGTGTGTGACATTTCCAAGAAACACGAAGCATCCCATAAGCCGTTATAGCCATTTGAAAGATCAAATTGTTATTGGTACGAAACCTATCAAGCTTAGATTTGTTTCTTTCACACACTTGAGGGTTTTGGACTTTTGACATGATCAAATACACAAATGGCTAAAATGGGTGAATATGGTTAAATTCTTAAACATCCCGTTCCAGTGACGTTTTGTACCACATATTTTCACTGTTTCTCAGAAAATCTTGCGCCAGCGACTTGCTGATGTTCAGTATCAGAAAACCCCCGCATCCTTAAAACCCCTGAAACCTTTTAATACCTTTAGCCTTACGCATGCCAAATGCCAAGTGTAGCTCTCATTCACATCAATATCTGACAGTGTTCAAAAATATTTATAGAGTTTTTACTTGTTTTTATGTTCATATCAGAAATCATCCCGTGGCCCCAAAGAGACCTGATCACACGTCGTCATTTCAAAATGAAAATTAATCCTTTTTGGAAATTTCTATTCAAAAGCAAAGTACTCACCACGAAACAGCCTTTTGGAACTAAAGCCGGCCACAAGAACCACATCTGCAAAAGTCCATGGGATAACGTTAGTGGACACATTAATTGTCGCATTTGAACATAATTAAAGGTAAGAGCTAGCAATTGCTGACGCACCTGTATGGAATTATCGTTTAGATAGTTGGAGGGAAGACATGTTCATTACCACAGATGTAAAGTATCATGGAATTGCCGTAAACATAGTTGGAGGAAGACATGTTCATTACCACAGATGTAAAGTATAATGGAATTGCCGTTAACATAGTTGGGGGAAGACATGTTCATTACCACAGATGTAAAGTATAATGGAATTGCCGTTAACATAGTTGGGGGAAGACATGTTCATTACCACAGATGTAAAGTATAATGGAATTGCCGTTAACATAGTTGGGGGAAGACATGTTCTTTACCACAGATGTAAAGTATCATGGAATTATCGTTTAGATAGTTTTGGGAAGACATGTTCATTACCACAGATGTAAAGTATCATGGAATTGCCGTTAACATAGTTGGGGAAGACATGTTCATTACCACAGATGTAAAGTATCATGGAATTGCCGTTAACATAGTTGGGGGAAGACATGTTCATTACCACAGATGTAAAGTATCATGGAATTGCCGTTAACATAGTTGGGGGAAGACATGTTCATTACCACAGACGTAAAGTATAATGGAATTGCCGTTAACATAGTTGGGGAAGAAGACATGTTTATTACCACAGTTGGGGAAGACGTTCATTACCAAGAGTAAAGTATCATGGAATTGCCGTTAACATAGTTGGGGGAAGACATGTTCATTACCACAGATGTAAAGTATCATGGAATTTCCGTTAACATAGTTTTGGGAAGACATGTTCATTACCACAGATGTAAAGTATAATGGAATTGCCGTTAACATAGTTGGGGAAGACATGTTCATTACCACAGATGTAAAGTATAATGGAATTGCCGTGAACATAGTTGGGGGAAGACATGTTCGTTACCACAGATGTAAAGTATCATGGAATTGCCGTTAACATAGTTGGGGGAAGACATGTTCATTACCACAGACGTAAAGTATCATGGAATGGCCGTTAACATAGTTTTGGGAAGACATGTTCATTACCACAGATGTAAAGTATCATGGAATTGCCGTGAACATAGTTGGGGGAAGACATGTTTATTACCACAGATGTAAAGTATAATGGAAATACGTATTAAACAGTTTGGGTAAAACATGTTTAAACATTGATCTAACAATACAAGCAAGGTGTTTCATGGGTAACAACCCCTATATCCAGTTCCAATGCGACGTTTCGATATGGATCCTTCCACTATTGTCACTCTTGCTTGAACACGATAACAGAATAAAAAAGCTGTCATCCATAAAGTATCGTGTCTTTAGTGTTACTCGCGAATTTCTAATAAGCTCAACATATTAAACGCTTCTTGCCGGACTCGCTCGTCAGATTTTCCAACCTTGTTTCTGACCCGTCACGGGGCGCGACCAGACACTGCACATTGTAACGCTCAAAACCACTCTGTTACATGTACAGTCACCTGAAGCAGCATGTGATTATGTAACCATTGTGGTGCATTGGTAGAGGTATAGATAACATATGTACTTACATGTCAGCAAGAGAAAGGATAACGCAACCTTGGTCCTCATCGTGCAGAAACCGAAGTTCTCGAAAAGTCCTCTCAAAAAGTGTGGAAGCTTCTGAGGCAAGCAGGTCGGATGTACGATTTTTATACCAAAATAAAGAAACATATACCCATTATTATCTCTTTAATATTACGTCTCGGTCGTGGAATGACCTTTTAAACGTGACATTCAGCTCCGCCGTCTATCACAGTGAAGGGGCGGTTCTTTCTGGCATAGTCATCACTTTCCAATTTGAAGACGTGAACCAGCGGAAAGGGGGAATGTTTACTTGACAGCTTGTAGCAACTGGTAAGATATAGAATATGAAAGCAAGTACAATTTATAGTGCAGGATAAATTAATTCACATATAATGTATTTGGTGATAGGTAACCGTTTTTGCAAGTTGTAATTGAAACATAATATCGTATATATATTTGATATTAATATTTATATATGAAGGAAAACCAAGTTCTATTGATAGTCAGCTTCTTTATTGCAATGAGTGCGACGTTTCGGCGTAGGTACTAACACCGTTATCAAGCAAGTGGTGATAAAGGCGTTAGTACGTACCCCGAAACTTCGCACTCATTGCAATAAATAAGTTGACTACTCATAGAAGTCGGTTTTCCTTTATCTGTACAACTTCTAAATGCCTTTCAAGGAAAGTTACATATGGCAATACTATGATCATATGTTCAGATCATTGAAGTTGCACAAAACCAACTGTATACATACATATATATATATATATATATATATATATATATATATATATATATATTACAC